AAAATTTTTTAAAAATCTCAGCATAGATTTAATATACAGGTAATTGATAGGAGTATAATTTATAAACAAATTTTTTTTAAAGTGCATATCTGACTAAAGGGATCATTTAATTAAACTGTGATGCATGACTATAATACAGAAATTAAAATGTAGTATGACAGAATTTTTAAATACTTAAAAAAATTAAATTTAATTATCTAGTTATTTTAATTTTAACTTTTAAATAGGGACTTAATAATGAGACAGTGTTCAGAAGACTACCAAAACCTTATATTCTATATGATTCACATTATATTAGTCCTTCTCTGTGAATACAAACACACTGTGCAGAAATAAACATTTGAAATAAAAGGCATCAAAATTTTCCATATTAAAATGAATATCAGTATGTTATAGAAGTACAGTTGATTTTTGTACAATTGGTTCTTTACTCACATTTTGTGCATTTCTTACCAGTGAATATGTGTTATTTTTATTTTACAAGAATAGGAAAATATTAATCAATGAATCCATGAGCTATTTATTTTCATTTAAGGAAAATGGAAACTTTTTGCATCTATAATAAGCATTTAGTCTTACTTTGTAAGTTAATTTCAAACGAGCAAACTCTTCTTTTTTTTGATAGTCATCTCTGTACCACATAAATATGTATAATCAATTATGTTTCAGGCGTAAAGAACAAATAAATAAAAGCAGAATATCAGCAAGGTAAAAAAACAAAGATGAATATGTTATAAAGCAAATATAGTAAAATTTCAAAGGCAAAATGTAGGTGGTGGGTATACAGATGTTCACCGTAAAACGCTTTTGGCTTTGCTGTATGATTAAACATTTTTAGAACATTGGAAAAAACTTTTTAAAAAATAGATATATATTTTCTGTTTTGAAAAAATATTAGGGCTGACCATTTTCCTGTGAGTATAAAAAAAGGCATGTATTTATCAGACAAGCTGATTCCTTTCTTGTTCAATTAAAATTAAACTGAGAGAGGTTTATAGCACAAAACAGATGGATTCACTTAAATAATTCCCCTCCAGTATTGTTTATCTTCTCCCTTTGATTGCCCAAAGTTCCTTGTGTCTTGACACACATTTTCTCATGCTCTCAGGAACAAGGAATTAAAGGCTGAATTACTCAAAGGAATTGGTATTTTAGACTTTTTTTCAAGTTTTTCAAGTTATATTTTTAATTTTTTGTTTTTAAGTGTTTTGATTTTTAAGTATTTCACATTAGGACAGTTTGAATCACTCAAGGATTTATATTTCATGAGCAATGTCTTTTTCTTGGAGTCTCTTAAAATTACTCAAATATAAAATGAAGATAAATATATTTGAGAGAATGCATATTTATTGAGTCCCTGCACTCATGTGTGTGCATGTGTAAACATTTGAGTGTGCAGAGTAAAATTGGATGAGGCTTTCAAATGTCACAATAGTCGTCCCTCCAACTTTAAACATGATTACATTTAAAGCATCTTAGAAAATCTCTTTTTAAAAACTTGCAAAGGTTATTTCTCCATTTCCTTGGAGAATCTTCTTCCTATGTCTGAAATCATTTATCTGTAGTCTGTCCTTTCCAGAAAGAAAATTTGGTTATTATCTGCATTTATCTTTCCATGTATTTGAAGACTAACACAATTATTTGCATTCTAATAGTATTGGCATTTCCAGTCTTTTCTGTTTTTTAAACATTAAGTGAACTACGATAGTGCACAGTGGGGTAAATAGTTTGGTTTTGGGAAAAAGGAATTTATACATTTATATATTTATCTTCTCACCTACAGAATAAAAATATCCCTGCTTCTCATTGTTATTGCCAAGACCCATACTTGTTAGAAGTGTTCAAAATATGTAGACCAACAGTGCTATAGAAGCAAAGTGTTTTTCCTCTTTTATGGGTTTCTTTAAAATATCATCCCAGGCAGTAAGCTTGGAGTCTTAAAGTCTGCTTATTTGTTTAAACTTAATCCATGGTTTCCAAGCATTCTAATGGTTGTGTAGATTTTTAAATTTGTATTTGAGTGAATGGCTTGTCTCTGAGGCTATCAGCTGGCAGCTACTAAAAATTAGCAACAAAAAAGTCACTCTTCTCATAAGTGCCTTCAGAAAATACATCATGTCAAGATAGAAATGGACATTGTTCCCATGGGCTTTGAACTATACTCTGTAAAAAGAAGTGGTAGAAAACTGTCCAAAAACTCACAGTTCACTATCAAAATATGATTAAGGAATTGCCTAAAGCAGTGCCTATCAAGGATTTCTTTTTTTTTTTTTAAGACACAGCAATGAAAACCTGGCCATGGGCCTACCCAGCCCTATCCAGCCTTGCCCAGCAACCTTTCTGACCATGTCCCTGACCCTTTTCCTCCTCTTTGCTAAGCTGCCAGCCTCTGACCTCCTTGCTGATCCTCTGACATCCCCCAGGTAGGTCCTTCTTTCTGGAACACACTTTCCCAAAATACTTGTCTAAATGTCTTCCTTATTTCATCAGGCCTCTGTTCAAATCTTAACCCCCAGAGAGGCCTTTGCAGACCATCTTATCTAAAGAGCATTTCTGTCCTCTGCCCTCTACCCTCTACATTATTTTTCCTCATATCATTTGAAATTACATGACTTATTTTCTTCTTTTCTATTGATTTTTCTTTTTTAGTTTCTGTCTCTCCCAAAAGAGTGGGAATTCCATGAGATTGGGGACTTTGTTTTGCTCACCACTGCATAACTGGACTACAACACACAGGAAATATCTGTTGAGTGAATGAATGATTGAGTTACTTAGTGCAAATACTTTGATAACCTTCAAACACGTCATACCAGAGTTCAGCTCCTTATTGATTATAATGCTTTTCTAAGATTATCTGGAGTCTCTGTCTGCCTTAATCCAAAAAATAATCTAAATTAAACCAACTTTTTCCAACCTTTTTTACATCAGAGCACACTATACATATATATAATATATAGCAGCAAAGAAATGGGAAGAGATTTAGAGCTTGGTGACTAATATATTTCCTTTATCTTATAAAATTATAACAAAATCTAATTATAAAATTTTAGAACATGAAAATTGCATTTATTCTGGAGCTTCCAAATAAATTGTTTTTTTCAACTTACAACCATTTAATACTTCACAGCATATCTGTAACCCACTCACTGCATACAATGGTACAGTGATACATTGGTTGGGAAACTCTGTTAAAAATTTAGTGAACTTAATTTTCTTTTGGCTCAGGAGACTGTGTAATGTGAAGGTTTGTCAGTATCTTGGTAAAATAACTAAATCTTTTAAAATAGAAATAGAAATCAAAATAAAAATCATAAGGCATGTTGTAAGGAGCAATACAAATACTGCCTAACAGATCATGGATTTTTCTTCCCCCTTGGGCTGTCTCTGATAAGTACGGTCTAATAAACCACATTTTACTAAGAATAGCTGGGCTCACTACAGATTGTCCCACTTATTAGTACTATGTCTCTGGGAAGGTTGTTTAACCTCTCTGGGTCTAAGTCATTTTCTGTGTTAAGTATAAAGGCAGGGGGTTGGTCTGTTGATCAGGAAATCAGTAATAGAAATGTTCAGAAAAGGACTAGGAGAGGTTGCTGCACGCTTAAGCAAAGGAAAAGTGAGATTTGTCATCTTTCAAAACAAAACAAAAGAAATAACACTGCCAACAAGAAATTTAAAAAGAAAATTACAAAAACCCTTCAGCAAGCTTAGAGCTCTCTTCCGTGGACCAGAAAACCATGGGGTGTGACAAATCAACTTTTGAGAGAACTGGACACTGGGGGCGAGCTTGGCTACCAGCTCAGCACACACAGCATTCGATGATGTCAAAGTCTGTGGCTGTAAATTTCCCCTGAGTTGTGAGAAGTAGGGAACAACTTTTAATGATTTCAGTAGGTTGTTTGGCCATAAAATCATGAAAACCAGTAAGCAGGTAGTCGTTCAGAAGTTATTTCTCTCTCTCTCTCTTTCCAGTTTAAAGCACAGGCTACCTTCTCAATGTTCAAAAGAGTATCTTCAGAAGACATGTCTTCCAACAGCAGCACTTTGAAATCTAAGCCAGTGTCTTGTAAAATTCTTACAATCTGTAGTAAACATAGACAGTTTGGCACAAATACCCACATTCGAAATTTAAGCTTTATGCCTATTGTTTGATCTATAATGAATCACGTTACATTTTTTAATGTTTTCCTCAAAAATCATTTTGAACAAATACTGTTTTACACAAAAAGGTCCTGTTCCACTGAAAATGTGAATGGTTAATAAAGTGAATTGCCTCTCAAACATGTGTGTCTTTATTTACATATTTTAAGCATTCTACGACTGCTAATACCAGTTAATGTTCAGAACAATAGCAGATTCTGTGCCTGTTAAAAATTTCTCATCTAGGGCCGGCCCGGTGGCGCACTGCAGAGTGTGCTGCTTGGGAGCGTGGCGGCGCTCCCGCCGAGGGTTCGGATCCCATGTGGAGACCAGTTCCCGCTCACTGGCTGAGCGCGGTGTGGGCACAACACCGAGGGTTGCGATCCCGTTGCCGGTCCCCGGTACGGGCGCGACACCAAGGGTTGCGATCCCGTTACCGGTCAGTAAAAAAGACAAAAAGGAAAAAAAAAATTTCTCATCCTAACAGAAGGCAAACACATGAGAAAATTTTCACTTTTATTTTCCTGTCAGAATGGCAAGAAGTAACCAACCTGGGGGGAGAAAATAATATCCTTCTGTCCTGAAGTTACTCCAGGACACCAAGACTTTAGCCAACATTGGAGGTGCCAACATTGCCATCGATTTTTTCTTGATGATTCATTATTCACATTTCATGCTGTGGAGACACCCCAACCACACACCCAGTGTCCAGATGGTGGCATGCGGAGGAGGCCAGCCCAGTGGCCTGAGTCTGCATGTGGTTGTTATTGAGCTGACAGGAGTCCAGGTGAAGTTGAAGAGGCAATTTCGCATTTCGAAGACATTTGTTTAGTGACTTAATAACTCCCATTTTTTCTCAGGTGTCCTCACTAAAATTTCACCTCTTCCATCACCCTGCTCCTCACCTCTCCAAGGGACTCCTGCCAACAGCCCGGTCAGCAAAATTTCTGCAGTGCAGTTTCCAGAATCTGCCGACACAGCTGCCAGACATGGCCTAAGTTCTCACAGGACCTTAACTTATACTCAGAGTGCCCCTGACCTATCCCCCCAGATCCTGACTCCACCTGTTCTGTGTAGCAGGTAAGCATTTTTATATTGTTAAAACTAATAATGAAATTAGTAATAGTTTACCCCACAGAAACCCCCACCACCAGTCCACATAGCTATGTTTAGGTTTGCTGAAGTGGTGGACAAGAAACAAAAATAGGCTTTAACAGAAACTTAATTTTTCAGTGGTTTTTCTATTACTAGAAAGTTTAGAGTTCAAACAGTCCATAGAACTAATCTTTGGAGATGATACCAAGTAATTAGTTGTGTATTTTGTCTGCTTACTGATAGAGAATACATAAAATATATAATTTAAAAATTATATCAAGTAATATCAAGTAATCTTGTATAATTCAACATTTTGTTGGAATGTTTTTTACTTGCTCTCCAGGGAGTATTTTATATTGATTTAAAAGCTATTTTTATCTTAAATTTGCATTTTCTATTTTAACACTTTTGAAATGTATGAATAATACACGACACATCATGGCTAGACTCAAATAGTTTTCTGAGTACAATTAGGCAATTGCTTGTGCTGTTCTGTCAGGTTGAAACAGAATTACAAAGTGTTGTCTATCGCAGAGCTTAAGAAAAAAGGCCTCCCACGGCTGGAGCAATTATTTTGCCAACATTGTCACTTGAATAGAAATACCTTCTCTTACTGATTAACAGATTTTTATTCTTCAGTAATAGCTTAAACTTGAGTAATTGATCTTAAAGCATTGCACTAATTTTTAAGTAGAAAAGAGTTGAGTGTTTTTAAGTCTAATCTTGAGACAGTCTTGAGTAAAGTGATATTTTTCCCTGAAGGTTAATAAGGATAACTCTTGGAATAAAATTGTAGCATGTTAATCTTCTAGTACCAAATATTCATAGTTGCAGATTTCCAGATTTTATCAATAGATTCAGATCTAAGAACTAGCAATTGACATTAAACCTCACAAGTTTCATTTTCATATACTTTGGTCATAAACTCTGTAAGTTAAATAAATGTTATTTATTTTGAAATATTTATTTTTACTTCCTTTCTTTTTACAAATATTTTTAAATGGAAAATTATTTCTGTTTGTTTTTTTTGGCCAGGGCCAAAGCAAAAAGTTATTTTACCATCCAAGGTTATTTGGTCACCCTTCCGTGTGACAGCTATTTTTATAAAATAATTTCTGTGGAATATTAATTCTGTTTATTCCCCACAAAAAATATATTTTCTGTAGTAAAATATAGAAAAGATCTGTCATATTTCCCTCTTAAAGATCTGCAACACATGTCACTTTCTTCAAAGCTCTGAGAAGTTCTGCTAAAAGAACACCTCTTGATTTTTGTTTCATCTAGTGATTTCTGAACTTACTCGACTACAGAATCAATTTTTTTAGGTTAACACCCAGTGATTGCTCATGGATGTTTGGCAGAACACACTTAAACAGTGTGGTATTGAATGTATTCTGAGCCAGGATAAAGTCCAGTGGAGTCATCTGCATCAGGGACATCTGCTTCCAGCTTTTCTAGGGAGACTCTCCCACTGTGGATTCCAGACTTGAGGGAAATAAGTTGCCTAAAGAAAAGAGAGAGATGCCCAGAAAAGGTCTAGCATTCACATGGCTTTTATCATCATAGTATATTGTGTTTTCTCAGCAGGAAGAATGTAGTAGGATTCTTATAAAAGAGGTTTCAGAGAAAAACAAGGGTATTTCAGTGTCTACTTGTTCAGTAATGTTTATAAATTCAGTAGTGTGTGTTTTATTTGTTTGGACTTTATAAGTCTATAATTCAAACCAGGTTTTATTATTGCCTTCAAGGCAGCCACCCATGTAGGCACAGAGAGCTCCATCAACACACGACTAATTATTGTGGTTTCCCCTGCTGAACTCGAAAGGTTTGGCATTGAATCCCAGTCTCTTGGCTGTTGTAATGTCTATGCAACAAGCTATTTTTTTGGCATAGGAACTGGCATATTTGAATTACTAATTTATGTAGTCTTTTTTAGGTATTATCTTACAATGAAAAATCTTGAAACTAATAAATTGTACTTCTATGAAGCTTCACCTGAGAATATAAGCCCATCAGTTGCATCTACTTTTCTTTTTTCTTTTGTCCTGTCATTTTCTTTTGATTCCCTAACTCAAATTGATAAGATTTCATAGTTAGAAATATGTTGTGTGTAATGTTTTTCTAATCACATTCAAGGGTTGAAAAGTAAATTTACATACTTTGAAGATGCTCTCTTGCTGGAAAATAGTTTTCTCTACTGCACATGCAAACATAATTCAGGGGGGTATAAATTGATGAGACATTTAAGATATTAAGCAATGAACTTTTACTCATTTCTTTTCGTTTTAGAGTGGGTAATCTGTGGTTAAATAACAGACAAATAAAAAACCCTCTAAGACCCTTTGTGATATTAGCCAGAAGGAAAGAACCCAGCAGCCAAATACAGGATTGAGATCCAATCATGAAGTCTCTAAACAAGATAAAAGAGAAAGGAGCAAGTTTGGGACTTTCTCAGGCCATTTGCAGAGTTACTTTTTAATTTTTTAAATAGTCAGACTGTTTAGAAAGGAAAAGTATCCTTCATCTTCCAACTCTGTCTGTTAAAAGGGCACTTTTCACCTGGCAGGTAGCTTCTTTTTTCTTTTGGTTGCTCACAGTTCCTGGTCAATTGTATATTCACACTTCATTAAACCATACCTCTCCTTTGCTTATTTTCTTAGAGCCTTAACGGGTGGCCAATGAATCAGAAAAAGGAATTCATTTTTATTTTGTGGCTAAAAACAAAATCGATATGCTCTCATTCCATTTTAACCTATGCTGTCCTTTCTTAAAGGGCTGTTTGGACATAACATGTCTTTACCCAAAGAAATAAATCTAATAATGAGGCTTTTAAGTAGGCACAAAGGTATTCCTTTGGGGAAGATATTTTTGACCAAATAGATGTCAGCACTTCTACTACAAATAGGTGGCAGCCTATCCCAGGATTCTCTAAATAATGTAACAAAATTTTACCAGCAGTTTCACCTCAAATGTGGTCTAGACCATGGAGGAAAAGAATGCGAGTCAAATGAAATTTCCAGTCATTTGTATTGATCATTCTCTCACAAACAAGAAAGCAGTATACTGTATATCAGCATCCATGTATAAGACAAAATGACTTTTTTTTCCATGAAACAAATCGAAGGTTGAAATATTGATTATTGTTGTCTTACTGTTCACATAGGTGGTATGTGCCTATGATTTTTTGAAAAGAGAAGGATATAATTGTAGCTCTTCTACTATTTCTCAGCTGTGGCAGACCATATTCCCAAGGGAATCCTGCTGATGGTCACCTGGAGAGAAGTGGTACAGCCACTCGGACACCAGGCAGAACAGGTAATTTATTGTTTTGGATTCTGTTCCTCAAAATGGAAAGAGCTTTTTTTTCTTTCTTTCTTTTTTTTTTTCCTGATCAAAAAGGTAACCTATATTTCTGATTTTGTAAATTACGTATTTTGAAAACCGGGGGAGAAAACCAAAATCATCCATAATCTTACTATGTAGAGTTAATTATAGATAAAGTTTTGGTGCAGAGTTGTCCAAAATGTTTCTATATATCTATACACGTGTGTATAGATATTTTTAAAATTAGAAGCCATTTTATATAATGTACAGCACTATATAGAAATATTATTTTATCTTGTTACTTTGGACACTGGAAGGTCATCTGCTTTAATGAGCTCTCTGGAGGTCGCCATTGCAGACCCTGAGAAATGACCCTGCTTATATCACTGTAAACTGAACATAGTTGTTCCTTGAGGCAGTGTAATGGAGAGGTTAAGAACGCAGGCATTGCAGCCTGGTTTATCATCATCATCATCATCATTATTATTATTATTATTATTACTATTATTAGAAGTGCTAAACCTGTGGCAGCTTCACAGGCTGTGAAGACTAGAAGGGTAGTGGGGAGAGTGTAGGGCAGGGTGAAGTATCATCATCATCATCATCATCATTATTATTATTATTATTACTATTATTAGAAGTGCTAAACCTATGGCAGCTTCACAGGCTGTGAAGACTAGAAGGGTAGTGGGGAGAGTGTAGGGCAGTGTGAAGTGTAGGTTTAGGGACAGGAGGTTGCTTAGGATGAGTAGGGACAGTATCACACCTTCTAGGCATAGGAGAGAGGATATGAGGTGGGATCAATATGTTAATAGTCCTACGAAGGATGTGGTATATGCTAGGATAATGTTGACGTAGACCGAGGGCATTTTAGTAGTTACAAAATGTCATAATTTTAATGGGTCGAAACCAATTGTTTTGATTAAACTAATTACTATATTGGGCTCATTCTAGGCCTTTTCGAGTTCATTTGTAGGCTAGACCTGGTGCTAGAACGAGCATTAGGATAAGTGCTATGGTACGTATCAGTCGGAGACTGTTTGGGTGGCTCACAGGAATCACATCCTGATTCTGCCACTTGCTTGCCTGTAATCTTAACTTTTCTGTACAGTTCCTTCATCTGTAGAATGGGCATAATAGTAGTACTACCACAGAGGACCGTAGTGAGAATTAAATTACCTAAAATATATAAAGCACATATTGCTTATTATAGTATCTGGGTTGCTAAAAATAGGGTTTGCTGCTGTCGATATAATAATTATTATTTTATTTTTATTCGAGGGCATTTTAGTAGTTACAAAATGTCATAATTTTAATGGGTCGAAACCAATTGTTTTGATTAAACTAATTACTATATTCAGCTCATTCTAGGCCTTTTTGAGTTCATTTGTAGGCTAGACCTGGTGCTAGAACGAGCATTAGGATAAGTGCTATGGTACGTATCAGTCTGAGACTGTTTGTTTGGGTGGCTCACAGGAATCACATCCTGATTCTGCCACTTGCTTGCCTGTAATCTTAACTTTTCTGTACAGTTCCTTCATCTGTAGAATGGGCATAATAGTAGTACTACCACAGAGGACTGTAGTGAGAATTAAATTACCTAAAATATATAAAGCACATATTGCTTATTATAGTATCTGGGTTGCTAAAAATAGGGTTTGCTGCTGTCGATATAATAATTATTATTTTATTTTTATTGATGCAGCCCTAGGGACTTGCCTTTGTTAGAGCTGAGAGTATGCAAGGGAGAAAAGAAAGTTGTGTCAATCATACAGTTTAGAGTGATAGAGCTACCAAATACTTCTTAACTATCTGCCTCAGTATCTCTTGGTAGACACTGAGGCACAGGTAGTGTAAGTAAACTGCCCAAGGTCACACAGATTGTAAATTTTGTCAGTAGAATTTGAACCCAGGAAATCTGATGAAGTCTAGTTTTGTTTTGTTTCTTTTATGGTTATTGCTTTCCATGGCCTACAAAATCTTCACCTTCCCCAAGGTCACAAAGGAAGTCTCCTTTATTTTCTTCCAGAAGCTCTATCGTTTTAGCTTTTACATGTAGGCCTATGCTCTATCTCAGAATAATGTTTTGCATGGTGTGAGGTAGGGAGTGAAGTTAATTTTTTCCCAATCCCACTGGATTGCTTCAGCATCTTTGTTGAAAATCAAATGGCCAGGATCTAATTTGGCAATTTCTACTCTTCCGTTTGATCTCTTTGCCGATCCTTAGGCCAGTACCACACTGTCTTGATTACTGTAGCTTGAATTTGAAGTCAGGTAATGTGTTTCCCCTAACTTTGTTCCCCTTTATCAAGACTGCTTTGGATGTTCTAGGTTTGTTGTGTGTCCTTATACATATACTGACTGATTATTCTTAAGTTGTTAGTGAAAGATAGGCTTTTGTTATAAAGCCTATTCCAATCGGAAATATTTTGTAAGACTTTTCCAAGAACCCATCTTTCTTCCTTTTTTCTTTTTTTGTCTTTTCCGTGGCCGGTAAGGGGATCGCAACCCTTGGCTTGGTGTCACCCGCACCGCGCTCAGCCAGTGAGCTCCACTGGCCAGTCCTATATAGTATTCGAACCCGCGGCGGGAGTGATGCTGCGCTCCCAGCGCTGCACTCTCCCCAGTGTGCCACGGAGTGGCCCTCTTCCTTTTTTCTTATGCAACTTCTTGTGTCTCAGTTTCCAATCTGCAGAGTGAAGATAATAGTAATACAATAATACCCACCTCCTAATATTGTGGAGAAGGTTACATATGTTAGCACAAATGAAGTGCTTTAAGAGGTACCTGACACATGGCAGGAACTCAACAAACTTCATTCAGGTTTCTTACTTAGCTATGAGAAGTTTCTCAAGGCCTTTGCCCCAGGAGCATGTTCTTCAGACACTTGGTAGTTTTTGATTGGTCTTTTAGTTAGCACACTTTACTGCTGACTGAATGGGGGGCAGTGAATGGGGGAAGATCAAAAAAGAAGCCACAGACTTTTAAGGAAAAAGATTGGATACCCAGGCTCTCCCATGTTCTTAAGGCCATGCCATCACTCTGTGTTCTACAAACCACTTTATTCCTGGGTGTGACAACTCAATTTCTGTATTTACCATATGCATTTCAGGAAGACTTGCTTAAATGAGGTCCCTTTCTCCCATTGCAAGACTCATAATGAGCTGTTCTCTTTCAATTACAGATGACACTGCTCAGGTTACCTCTGACTATGAAACCAACAACAACAGTGACAGCAGTGATATTTTGCAGAATGAAGATGAGGCTGAGTGTCCAAGAGAGCCACTGAGGAAAGCATCTGCGTGCAGCACCTACGCTCCTGAGACCGTGATGTTCCTGGTAGCCCCAAATCACTTAACTCATCCACTCACTCAAAAAATTGGCTTCTATTACAGAGCTTGACTTAGAAATAGATCCCTGAATCATGAGGTTTACAGACATATCTCATTTAGATCACACATGTATTGTAACCGTACCCGTATGTGGTAATACAATTTTTCTCTGTCCAAGCCAAATTGATCTCTTAATGGTTCTGTTATTTGGTAATTAAAAGCATAAGTATTTATCTTCACACATGTTTACAGATATTTCTTAACCCAATGAAAAAGTGTAAATATGTATAGGAAAATGAGTTCTTTTATTCAGTGAAACAATATTTTATAAAGAAAAGAAAAGAAGGAAAGTGGAAGTATACATTTAAATAAGGTTAATTTGGGGGAGGCAGCAAATGGTAGGAAGTACTCGTTTGTCATGTAATTACCAATTGTTGCTATAATCATTTTTCTTTTACCATATTTACCATTTCTACTTTTAGATCAAATAGATTATCAGGTAAAATAATTTATTTTTTCTTATCCTCATTATTTTCGATTTTCTTGGTAAATGTACTCTGAGGAGTATCCTCATTTGGGACCAGTTATAAAACATCTTTACACTTTCATGGTATGTGTTTCTCAGGAAACTGTGGATGATGTGAATTCAATTAAAATCCCTAAAAATCAGGCAGTTGTTATTCCACAGGGTGAATGCTGATTTTGAAGAATTAATATGAATTCGATATATTAGAGTAGGGGCAATTAAGTCCCCTTCCCACTAATGGCTTGCTTTTTAGAGTCCAACATAAGCCAGGAAGCTTCATCCCAGAAAAATTACGTAACTATATAAAGAGGTAAATTTATGTATAATTTCAGAGTATTCTGAAATCCTGGAATCTTATTTAAGAACCCTGCAGTAGACCCCAAAACAGTTATGTTATTTATTTTATTATTTTTTATTGGTTATTAATATTCATGAGATACAAAGCTGATATGTGGGAGCTAAGAGAGAAGGAAGGAAGGAAAGCAGTTATGTTAACTTATGGAAGAAACATTCATATTTTTGCTGGAGTATATGTGAACCGAGGATAGGTAGGCACCTAACAATGCCAAATTCATAGTCTGAAACAGCATTCAATGCTTTCCTTTTTTCTTTGGGGTCAATGTCTTTTATCTTGATTCTTCTTTTAAAGATCACTTATTCACCCTGGAATGTTTGGTCATTCTTTTGCAAGAAACTGTAGTTGTTAAATTGAACTTACCAAAACACAAATTGCTTTGTAGAAAAACTGCATGTCATTAAAATGTTTTAATCTTCATCACAGGAGAAGCCAATTCTTGCTCCTGAACCTCTTGTCATGGATAACCTGGATTCGATTATGGAGCAGCTAAATACTTGGAACTTTCCAATTTTTGATCTAGTGGAAAATATAGGAAGAAAATGTGGCCGTATTCTTAGTCAGGTAAGAACTACATTCATCTATATGACTTTAAATATAGGAAAAACAATTCCCTGGTTGCTTAAAGCTCTGTCTGTTCTTAACACCTGTGGATAGGTGTTGTGTGGAGAAAGGAAATTTCAGCACACAACATTCTGTAGATTCTTTGCTGGTGGGTTCACAAAAGAAATGGAAACTTTAAGTCGGTAGAATACCATGTTCTACAACTGAAATATGTATTTTTTAAACAAAGTTGGGGAGGCAGGTAGGAATATACCTGCAAGATGGACAAGTGATGTAAAATTCATGAAATTTAGCAAAAGAAAAGTTAACATGAGCCCCTACAAGAAGAAACCTGCCTATTTATAAACACTAATTTATTGTCTGTAATTATTTCCAATGACTATTGTTTTTAACTTTTGAATATTACAGTGCAGAAATATTTTTGCTCAGTCGTCTGAGAAACATATCCAATAGAGTTCTCCGTATTTGAAAAACACCTTTATTAATCACAATAAATAGAAAATGGGACCTGTTGCTCATAATAAGCCTTTGGCATTGTTTTCCTTAGGTTAGATTATTTTCAAAGCTTTCCAGATAAAGAAATGTTTGTTTTGCTGAGGGAGAAAGAAAACATACAGAAATTAAGAATTTAAACAGATGTTTAAAAAAAAAAAAAACTGATGGATTTGCTGTATTATCCAACACCTACCAAAATACACACTCTTAATTAATTAAAGGGGATGATGCAATAATATTTATCAACCTGTTTTAAAAGGTTTTAAGTGGGGCCGGCCCGGAGGCGCACTGGACAATGTGCCGCTTGGGAGCGCGGCGGCGATCCCGCCGAGGGTTCGGATCCCATGTGGAGACCGGTTCCGCT